AACACGGGCAAATTTCCTGTTTCGTGTAAAAAGAAAAGTTTTCTCCACACGGAAGTTGAACATGTGTTTGCTCGCGGCTAATTTTACGAGCACTCGTCGGGAACTGTTTTTCAAGACGCTACCATTCAATGGCACTTGATTAAAGAATCATTGAGATTCTCTGAGCAGGTAAAATCTCATTATTCCTTCACGTAGCTGAACTCGCGCGCCTTGATCCTTGTTGCGGTCTGGTGCTGAGTGAAGCTTTGTGGCAAGATACAAAAGCTTCACTGTTAACTCCGAGACATGAACAGCTACAATGCAATTTTACTCACTTTCACTAATGCTTTGTCTGAATGTTAGTTGTTATTAGTGTATCAGTGATACCATTCACGACATACATTTTCGACGTAGTCGGTATCATTCACCAAGGATAGAAATTTATTGAAACTCGAGTCTCGCTGCCATATATCCAATGGACTTTCCGATATCACAAGTGAATAACTCCCCAGCGACTCATACGCAAAACGCAAATTTTTGCTCAACTCAACAGCCCATAATTTTCATAATTTGATCGTATATATGTGCATGAAATTCCGAACATATGTAATTATTAGTAATACGTCGCGATAGGAATTATTACAGATTTTCTAGTCAATGATTTTTTAAGTAAAAAGGAAAAACGCAATTTAGTGCAACTTAGCTGCGTACCACAACGCAATATTTTGAAGGAATTGTCTTTAAATTAAGAAAAAATATGTAGTTATTTGCAATACGCTGCGAAAAAGCTCGGCGTTCACATGCTATCTAAATTAAAATTAAAGCTCGGCTTCAATTGTATAAATATTATACATACTAAAGATGATCTGGTCAATGCTGTTTGACTAAAAAGTAAAAGCGCAATTTTTGCGCAAATTAACAGCTGATATTTACTCATATTTTATTTATTAAAACGAATCTTACAAAATTTTGTTAGGTTTGGTTAAAAAATGGTTTGGTTAGGATTGGTTGGGTTAGGCTGTTTATTATTACATCAAAATGATCTAACCTATCCTAGCTCAAACTATCCTAACCTAATTTTTTGAAAGTATCTTTTTAATAAAAAAGAAAGAGCGTAGAAATCCGTAGTAATTTTTATCTTGGCGCATTGCTGAGGCATTTATATTCTGAATATCATGCAGATCCGTTCAGAATACTGCCAGAATCTTGAGCCACCATTCATATAAAAGATGCCTTTTTTGGGCTTTAGTTCCAAACGAAATGTTCCAATTATCTGTAAAGATTTCTGTCGCGGCAGATTGCTAATAATTACTCATGTACGGAATTTCTTTCAGGTAAGTTCAGAATTGTAGGAATTATGAGCGGTTCAGTTGTGCAAAAGTTGCAATTTTCCTTTTAGGCCGTGGCGAGTTCGCGGGTGATTTTGCAGAAGTGTCGACTATATATGTATATGTCTGCCTTTTTTTATAGTTTCTTTGCAAATTTGACGCCTGTAAGTTAATTGGCTAACTCACTGTTCCTGAAAACTAGCCAGGAAAATAAAATATTTCGCAAAAACTTCCCTTCTTCCTATCACTCGTTCAAATAATTCGGTAGGCCTCTCAAATTTGTTTAATTAATTTTTCATTAGGAAATCAGGAGTCAATAATCTTTTACCAAACTCTATTAATTATATGAGGTGGAAGTAAATTTTAAATTTTGATTCAGTTTAAAATTCCTATTCAGTTATCTATTTGTCGACTAAAATTATTGTGCAAGCTTTATCAATTTAGCAATTCCTTTCCCTAAAACAATTTTTCACATCCCATATGAATTGAAAAAATCTCGAACATATTTAACACTCGATTAAGATTTTCTCCGTGCACATCATAAATCATGATATATTTGAGCGATTCCAAAGGCACCATCGTCCACCAACACGAATTGTTCAACCAAACAACACGGATAATCTGGCCAAAGCCCACCGTGAACACGGCTTTTTCAAAGGCGGAACACGGGTTCTTTTGTGCCCGATTGGACTCGCTTTAAAATTCATGAGAGTGAATGCAAAAAAGCTGAGCGGCTTCACAGAGATTAAGCTTCGTAGGATAAATGTTTAAAGTGACAATTTGTGAAGCTTTGGAGGGGGATGAGAGATGCTGGGGAAATGGAAGGGATGCCAAACAAAGAAGGAAATAAAGACTTACCCTCGGTTGAGGGTCTGATTACAAGCCTGCGATGGATAATTGACAGAAAATCTATGCAGTAGACTATATGCAACTCGAAATAAACAAGTCTACTGTTATTGCATTTAAATATGAACTTTATAATAAATAATATGGAATATTCAGAGGATTTAATGGGTACCTTAAAAATGCGAAATAATTAGGAAAACCAATGCTTAATTCGACCAAAATATGTAAGGTTCGAATATATTGAGTTTTAAAGCTACGCTACTGAGTCGTTATTAATATCATTCATAATAAAAGTCTTAGTATTCTTTATAAAAGAACATGAAGAAGATAGCACGAACTTTGAATAATATATTGCAATTTTTCATTTAACCTCCCCCATGCAGTTCTTACCCTAAAGGGAAACAGACGTAAAATTTTTCTCGTCATATGACGCACCCTTTCTGTATAAGGAAAGAGTGACAGGCGTGCAAGGTAGAAGGGACGGTACAATACTACGATGTGTCAGCGTATTTACACATCCGAGTGACACATCTGGTCACTTCCATCTGACTATCAACAATGAACTGGAACATTTTTCTTTTGCTACAGTATTCTGAGATTTTTGTTAAAGGATTATTCTTTGGCTTTCCGTCGATAAAAACAAGTTCAGGAAACAAGGCGAAAAAATGCAATCGAAATAATGTAAGTTGTGATTGATGGTGCCTTTTAATATAGCACGGTTTTTGAATATAACATATCACATAAAAGTTTGCAAGCAAGATTACTGAGCGCTAACAAAATCAATATCAAATCAAAATTAAACTCTTGTTCTGTGGCGAAAACAATATCAAGATAGCGCTTCATATTTCTAGGCCAGCTGATACAGAATAATTTGGGTATAATCCTGATAAGAAATGCCTGGCTTCCTTGTAGTGAAGTAAGGGAGGGCAGTCACAGTGAACAGTTTTTCAATCTTCATGCGGATCATGAATACGAATGATAATAAATATTCAATAAGTGAGTGTCTTGGCTGACTTCTGTTGTTTGGCAAAGTATTTTTTTAATGTATTTATCATCATAAAATAACGGCAATTTGAATGCGTGCTCATCTATGTTGGTTATAGTAAACGGAACAACGTGTGCAGCTTTGAGCTATTTGTTATTTTTGGAGTACTTGGGTTGTTTGAGAACTGGACTGTTTTGAGTATTTCAAATGATGAAATCTTTGAAGAGCTGTCGTGTACGATTTTGGTAAGGATGTAATTTCTTACCAATTGATCGATGCTTCTGAAAACTTCTCGCTAACGGGATGGAGCAATACGCTCCATTCATTTATTTTATCGTTTTCGCTTATACGATATTTATAGTTAATGAATCCTCTGAAACAACCAAGTGATGGGATTAAAGATGAATTTTTTAAATAATGTTTATTGTGTGTAAAAATACATGATTTTTTTGTTACAAGAATATAAAGCGGGTATTGAGCTCAGGGCCTTTCCCATTATTTAATTGTAGGAGTTTCAATTGCGAATAATGCACCAAACAAGCGACAGTCTGCAATAGGAAATTTTTATTAACATTTTATAACTAGTAAAGTTTCGTGATTTTTCTGATAATCGTCCTCCCTTAATTACAACTGGGTAATCAGTATAAATTTCATCAAACATAAGAAAACAATTATTAATGAACATTGAACTACAGGCCAAAACTTTGAAATTGGGAGCAGTAGTCTTGAAAAAGTATCTATGATAATCTAGAATTCCTTTACCGATCTAGAATTAATAAGTGGAATGTAAAGTTGAGATGCAAGGTGTTAGTATTCAAGATTTCTCGAAAAAAATTTTCTTCGAGTATAAATTTTATATCTTAACCCTATACCGCTGTGTGCCACTCTCCGGGACATAACTTTCAACTTAAATTATACGTAAGCTATTGAGTGTAGCAACCTGAGGATATTTGTATGCAAGAGAGAATATTTTAAAGTTGTCGTACGTGGCGGCAACCTTCAGTGCAAGTCATTTTGCGCTCACTAGAACATACCCTTTATAAAGGGTATGTAAGTATATAGGCTTGTGACAATATTGCTCCGGTTACTCGTGTCAGGCGGTAAGGGTTAAAATAAAACAAAAATTAAAGAGAATGGGAACATTGACATTAAATCTTAAAAATCAAAATCAATGGAAGTTGTTCCATCTGTGAAGAACATGATGAAAATTCATACAAAAATAAATTCCTCGTTGAATCTGCTAAAATAAAAGTTAAAACTGTTCAATGATTCAGTTAATCACGTGAAAGAATTGATGTCTTGACAAGAGTCTTGAGCAATTCGTTTCTTAAGGCTTCTGTTGGTTTCATCAGACTTATTAATTGCTAGAAATACTTATATAACTCCTAAATGTCACAGTCTTAATCTGCTTAAAATTTCAATTAACACTAATTAACGATGGCGATAATTGATTTGAGCTCATTCATGATATTCTCCGACGTTTCATTAATTTCTCCCTGTAAAACTTATATTATCAATTTAAATACGCTTAATTATCAAAATTTTCACTCCGCAATAATCTTGACAATTGTGACTTCTCAACAATTAAATCATCGCAAACTTTATGAAATTAAAAATGAATACTCATGCTTTCCGCTCCTGTAAGGTTTCTACTTTGTAGATCGAGATTGAAACGAAAATTGAAACATGCATTCATTACACTGCGGTTAGGACTTTCACAGCGGCTCCTGATGTAGACTAATTTTAGAGTTCTGAGTCCTGATATTAAACTAATTTTGCTCTACCGGGTCAACTTTGTGGGATACACTGATGATATATAAACATACCTGTACCTGACAAGCTATACATTTCCTAATTGCTGGGGCTCTAAGTTCTATAATATTTTTCATGATGAATATGTCGAATTAAAATGCTGAGATATGAACGGGACTTCTTAATTAATAGATCAATGGAAAATATTTGCAAGCAATTTTATTCGATTTAATGAAAATCATTGGACTTGATAAGGATGCGGGGGAAATGGAGAGTAGGTTGGTGGGTGGGTATTATATGTGGGTGGGGATGAAGTCATGGTCCCCCAGCCTGCCATCCCCTCTCGTGGGGAAGTAAACTCGCATGGTGTCTGGGGATGCAGGGGAGCGTTACTAACCATCCCAACATTCAAAGCAGCCCCCATCTCATGACACTGCGGTACTTCTTGCGTTCTGAAAGCCCCGTTAGTATTTGAAGGATGATAAAATCCTTGCATAGGGTTCATGTCTTGTCCGCTGGGACTCATTCCATTTGATAGAAAGCCCATGTGGAAAAACCCATTTGGATTATCCATGATACTGCCATTATGGAAGTTAGCGCTTGAAGGCAGTCGTGGACTACCACCCATTAGGTCGCAACTGCGCACCATTTCGCTCAGCGTCCATATGTAGTTGTAGGCGAACCGCAGCGTCTCGATCTTGGTGAGCTTTGTGTCGTCGGGGGGCGTGGGCAGTGTCAGACGCAGGCGTTCTAGGGCAGTGTTCAAAAGGTGCATCCTGTGGACACATCCAGTGGGTTGTTAGAATTTTAATTTCTTACTATAAAGATCAAACAGAAAGTTTAGGTTACAAAATTTAAATTAAAGGAAATTGATTGTCTTCCAATAAGCCATTGCCTGTAATAACAACAGATCGATCATTGGCAAAAATGGGAGAACTGTAGTTAAATCACTGGTGAGCTCAGCCAGCAAATTAATTAATGATTGGATACAGAAGATGTACTCGAAGCTTCATAATTTAAAAATTTCTATATGAAGTTTCAATCCGGATAGCTTCTGATCGACGGCTCGTATCCAAATTAATGCATTGGGCATCCTACTTCCGAAGAAGATCTGATCGTGAATTACAGAAAGCCATATGAATATAAATAAAGAAGAGATTAGTCGACTTACTCACAAATTGAGAAATGGTGAATAAAATATAAAACAAATTATCATCATACATAGTGTCAGTCATCATTCATCCTTACCTGTTTCTCTCTCTATCGTTGGCTTTCATCCTCCTGCATCTCTTCACTCTCGCGACTTGGGACGGACTCCGAGGTCGTTTTCTACTGCCACCAGAAGACTTATTACCGGCCTCACTACTGCCATTAATTATATTCTCGTCATTAACATCTTTATCCTCAGATTTAGATGTGGCGTTGCAAGATCCAGACTTCCGACTTCCAACAAACTGATGAGAATCTTGTGAGTTTTGCCCATCATCAGTCGAGAGCTCGAATTCTTCACATCCAGATTCACCGCTCCTGTCGCTGCCGTCGTCTTCACCTTCTTTCTTTACCAGCGAGTCTAAAAATGATGAGAATTTCGTGTCGTGGTGCGACATTTCTGCGCTGCAGCTGCTTGCGGGCCTCACTTTTGGTTGAGTTTCGGGCGCAGATGAAGAGGAATTTAATATTTTGGCTGACGGTGGTTCTGTTTGAGGAAGAGGATGCGTAGGAAGAGTAGCAGGATTCGTCATTGAATCATCGACTTTTTTGTGCTCGGTATTGGGAATGGAAGAGACTTTACTTGGAGAATTAGTTGCAGAGTTTGATCCAGACGACATTATTAATTTTGTCTGCGCATTTATATTTTTTTCTGCTGGTTCCTCAGGCTTAATTTTGATTGAAATTTTTTGCTGGTTTTGTGGTGCATTTATGCTCGGAGATTGCAAAACTTGTTCATTGTTGAAATTTTCATTGCCAGAAAATATTGGCTTGGGGAAAGATTGTGGGGAGGATAATTGAACGGGGAAGAAACGCGGGCTAGGATTGGGTATCGCATTATTAATGGAGTTGGAAAAATTTGCTCCGTTATTAGGGAAAGAAAAGTCCCCAGCGTTGGGGATAGGAGGAGGCTGGTGGACAACTTGGCCATATGGAGGGGGAGGAGGTCGTACGGGGTGATGGAGGAGCTGTTGGGGATCTGTGGGGGAGCCGTGGGTGGGGGTGTGGGGAAAAGGATAGAAGCGATGCGGTAGCGACGGGGAGTTTGGGGTCGAAGAGAGGTTCTGAACTGGCGACATTTTCAGAATATTCCACGACCTGAATAAAAAATATTAGATAATTTTTTCGAATTGAGCTATCAAATAATTTACAATGTTCATGTCGTGTATTGCTAGTATCTAAAATAAATTAAATACTCGTCTCAAACCCCGTAGACTTTTTGAACAAGCACATGCCCATTAGAATCACAAAGAAAGTAATTTTTTGATGGAGAATAACTATGAGTTTATTAAAAAAAGTTGCACATATTCATATTTCAGTGGTAAAAATTCAAAACGAAAATACAAATGCAACGGCTACATTTTTCGAAACACTGCAGAATATTAGCATTTAGAAACAATTAGAATATTGAGGATTTTGATGAGAGAAATTATACAAGGAAAACTTCCAAATGAAACAAAATCCTTAACACATTAAAACTATAAAAAAAGTAAATTCATGGCAATTCTATACTTTTCTAGAAAAAAACACAGTAATTAATAGTTACACGTTTCCCTGACGATTTTTGTCTGTTGTAAAAACGTGAAAATTATTCAAGCATAGAGTAATTTATGGACAAGATTAATTTTGTATAAATGTCGTTTTACTTCCATAGTTTAGATTGAATGCCGAGGTACTGCTTTAAGTTTCTTAGTCAGAGAGCATGGATTGGCTCATTAATTATCTTAATGGGCAATTCCAATAATTATTCTGATTTTTTCAGGTAATAATCCTCGTATCAGTTTGATTTTCATACTACATAGCAATTACTTAACATGTCCATTAGATAATAAATCGTAATGATCATAAATGAATTAACTTACTTCCTGAAAAACTCGCGATTTGTTCAGTTCATTATTCCCACAGGAAGTCACAGAGTTAAATAGCCGGCGTGAGAGTCAAATCCATGAAAAAGCCAATCCAGGTTTAAATGCCCCAGGAATTAAGTGATGCTGCACAGTACAGTAGCGACACAACCTGCCTCCTCAACGCCTCGTTACAAACTGGAGTCTGGAGTGGCGTGCGTGCCGTCATTCACGGCCTGGTGAGCCTACAACACGCGCACGTGCTCCGCCATACAGTTGCCAAGTACCAATTTATTTACACTAGCGACGAAAAATTTACTGTTCACAGACTGAAATCTTATCAATTAATTAATTAGATAACATATAAATTGGTTCCATTGGTTTCCGTAAAATGTAGGCTTTAGAGTAAAGTACACATTTTTAAAGTTTCTTGAGGAACAGGTATAGGACATTCTTGATTTAGTCAACTCACAAATGAACAATAAAGCAATATCTTAATAATAAAAAATTCGTCATACAATAAATTATTTCATTTCTCTTTCCACGATGGATCATTTGCTTTGAGTCTAATACACCTAAACTAACTAGTGAATTAAATCAGTTGAATTCTACAAAGCACCAGCGAATTTTCAGCGCAGCGGAGTTGTTGGCATCCAGCGGGTGACCCAGCGGAGCCCCGCCCGGCCCTAGCACCAGCAGCCAATAAGGGCTGCGCCATCTGGCACCTAGGACCAGGCTATACCAGTCCTGGGTTACAGACTTACAGCAGGGTCTACATTAAGGGAAAACTAATACTTTAATTGCATCAAGTTCTTCAATGAGTAATCATTCGTAATAAATACACGTGGTGGACAAGATTGATCGGCAGTTTTTTCAACTATGGGCTTCAGGGTTTACTATTTGAACTCTTCTGTAAATGGGTCTAAATATGAAGGGAAAACTAATAGTTCATTTGCTTCAGGGTTTAATATTCAAAATAAATGAAAAACGGTTATATTATTCGTACTGAAAACCTGTTATGGCTAGAAGAATTACGCGTGTTCTGATAGCGGCTACCCCTGGAAGCGGTTTATATTGTATACAAGATTTTACTGTCATTTACTGTCATTACATCTTCTAAATTCTTGAGAATAAAAATTTAATTAAGATCATATAGAGCAAAAAAATTTAGTTAAAGGATTTTAGTACTGTTGAACAGGTACCTCTCTCTTATTTAATTTTGAAGTTCCCAGCATATTTGCTCAGTGTTATACCTGAGCTCGATGATCGCTGCAATTTTATTATATTAGTATATATGCTGAATCCCGTTATACCTGGTTTCCTTTATAAAAAAAATGTCCTTAACGTGTTTATAAAATACATCTCATGCATTCCAATTAAAAAAAAACGTTAACCCAAACTTTCCATAAAAATCTCAATTGTCTCGTCTTTCAAAAAATGAAAGAAAAACTATTTGCGTGTTGCAAATTTGACTATATAGATACAGATTTTTAAATTCATTGCTAACTAATGGTCCAATCCTCTCCTCCCAGGTTCGCAATGCCTTACAATCATTGCAGTAAAAACAAATTTTTCAGTCCTGTTATATCCCGACACGATACTCTTGGATCTATGCGTAACAGCTCTTATATATATTTAAGCTGTCAGGATTATAAAACACAAAAACACACTAACTTCGACAAATATTTAGCAGATAAGCGAACAAGCGATCACTACTGTGTGAGAAATAATTATTTAAGTGTCTGGGATACTTGAAAAACTTGACGGTTCTAGAAGTAACAGTATCAAGTTTTCGAGGTGGCGGCTCCAAAGTTTTATTAAGGTGACGGAATCTAAGATCTACGGTAATCTCATCAAAGTTTTAAGGTAACGGCATCGGAGTTTTTAGGTAAAGGTATCAAGGTTACTAGGTAACAATATGAAAGTTTTAGAGTAAGGTTATCAGGTTATAAGGTAACCTTAAGATGATGAGCCAAGAAGTCGCCAGCTTAAGAAAACCATTCTAAGATTTGCTAGCGATTACTAGAAAGCCTCTAACACCAATATATTCGGATTTAAATTAACCAACTTCATGCTTAAAGTTTAACTCTCAACTAGTCTGATGTCTTATAATAATCAGATAATCAAACTGATGATTATCAAAGTAACCAGCAGTAGAGTTACCCCTGCCATCTGTGTTCCCGTTACCATGTGTTCGCACCAACAAGCCAACTGCTCCTCAAACGCCCGCCTGCTCTGAGCGCGCGTATATAATACGCCATCAATCGCCTCTGTCTCATTAGCCTTTCAAGGGATTCCTATTCATGGCATATCGGGGCCAGCATTTTTATACACACGCAAAAATAGGAGTAGATGATGGATAAATTTGGTCGCGTATATATTATGTTGTGATACAAGTATCGCAATAAAAGCGTGATAATTAAGTTTCAATAAAAATCCGATATAAAAATACAGAATTTAGGTAATTTTTTTCTCGTCTTCAATTATTAAAATCTGCATGTGAAATCGCGTTACATATTTATATAATTAAACTTTTTTCTATGTATTTTAAAATCGTGCAAATTATTTTTAATTTTACGATATTATTATTCTTAATTAATTTAATATTAAAAATGTGACACCTGAAATCAACTTTCAGTACGTCGCTGCAAAGCCGAGCATCAATTTTAGACTAATTAATCGTGCCAAGAGCCCCCTCATAAAATGGTGAACAGAACAATGAAATGTCGGAGCACGGAAATATTCTATTTCATAAAATAATACTAAAATAAATATGATGAAGCGCACTCCACGTTCCCATCGATGCGCACCGGCAATGGCAATCATAAAGTCGATAATTTCATCAGGCATCACAATTGAATGCTGACAAGACCTCGATTTCCGACTTTTGCACAGCTTTTGGGTCAGTATATTTACATAGCATAGCTACAACACATTTTGATAGACCAATATACAGTGGGGGGAAATAAATATTCGTACACTTGAAAAATCGTATTTTAATGTATGTAGGTACACATACTTAACAGGAAAAGTGATTTAAATTATGTATAGAGACGCATAGTATTCAAAAATACTATCAAAAGAAATTAAATCTCAATGCAACAACTTTTTTCACCCGAAAAGTGAACATGTTGCATTGTTTTTTGTTGCATTGAGATTTAATTTCTTTTGATAGTATTTTTGAATACTATGCGTCTCTATACATAATTTAAATCACTTTTCCTGTTAAGTTTATGTACTTACATACATCAAAATACGATTTTTCAAGTGTACGAATATTTATTTCCCCCCCACTGTAACAGTTGTGTAGTATCATGGATACTTCTAAATTCCGCTTAACCTATCTAAAAGTCATACAATAAAATAAGATCAAACTTTCAATCCGTTTATGATACCAACTTAATCAACGCAATCAACTAGAATTATATAACTCAAGACTTGTAACAATTTCTCTATCGAAAAGAAATTTTTAACTATAGAAGTGTTTAGTAAAAATATCTATTACATGTGATTCTCGGTGTTAAAGTTTTGCTTATTATACTCTTACAGAGAAAGGCGATTACAATTGCATTATAAACATTAAATACTACTCACTTCATCGTCACTATTGAAATACACGTGCGAAAACAATTCACACTCAGGTTAGTATAACATAAACCTGATCTTTTAACTGCATCCAGAATTGTTTCCAAGGTTAGAATAACTAAAAACTGATCCTTTTAATGCATCCATAATATCGTTTCCAGTAGAGCGACGAAGAATCGTGAAAAATACTGCTCACTCTATCGTCACTATCGAAATACTTGTGCTAAAACTATTCAA